AGTAATAATTAAATGTAAATGCAGTACTGTAAACAACTATTACAATTGTTTCTATACATCATATACTGCCGAACCCTAAATCGAGACTCAGAGTTACCCCCATGCCACTTTTATCAAGATTTAAAGCTCACCCTATATGCAAAGGCAGATGTTGGTAATTTCTAGTACTTCGAATTATTCGTGCACACATATAATTAGTAAATCCGTTTATCCGAAACGATTTCTTAAAAAATCTTCAATGCCATAACTGTTTAAAATTAATATTTCAAATACCGAAGCATTTATATCAATATTTTATGAACATATCTTTAAATCAACATAATTTACAAAGTATGCTGTAATTTAAAACATTACACTACTCATTACAAGTCAGGTAATATTTATTACGTGGTTTTATAATTCGAAATTGTTATAGACAAAGAAGCAGTTCTAGAACGAAAGTGCAAAATCTGCAGAAATTAATTAAAGAATATGTTTCATTTGCTGCATTTTCGAAAATTAATATTTTTAAAGCAATTAATTCGTAAATTTATATTAAATGGTACACGGCCATGAATCTAAAATGTACGTATTTATGGTATCACATTAAAATCGACACTTCCCTACATCGTCATTTAATGTACATACCTTGTTTAATTACCAATTAGGCTAGAGCCTAACTCAACAATATTTCAAACGCAACCAATCGATACGTACCTCCGTAATATAGTTTTCTTCCAATATATAATAATTGTTTGGAAACCTGTAGTACAAGATTGTGACAAAAGATTTACATACAAACAGCAAACATTAAATAACAAAGATAAAAAACAAAAATTATATTCTGTTGTCGCCATAAAATTTTAGAGCACGATATATTAAGGAACAAAAGACGGTACAGCTTCCCAATGTCAGAAATGGACTTTAATCCTTCAGACAGAACTTATCTTAAATATTTCGCAGTTGTAACGACGCAAATGGAGCAGGTCTTTCTGGTCCGTTGACGTGAAAAGCTGTTTATATGAATGTACGTTTGCAAAAAATGGTGACCTCGAATTGTAAGTGGGACCCTGAAGTTTTAGGATCTCATAGCACGGGCAAGTGGTAGCAATGTGATTTTCGTTACTATGCATTCCAACTTGTTCCAGCGCTTATCAGTTAATTCATCTCTTCTTTCACGTTCCATGAGTCACCGTACCACATTGCGACACACCAGAGAAACAAATGTTACCGAGGTGAGGGTGACGCGGATTGTTGCCCCGTTCTGATTATGTCCGACATCACCTGCCCCCTGCAGGTGGTTGGCTATCCCACGATACACGCAAGTATTTATCCTCATGGACGATCGATAGCCGACCACCGACCAGCCGCTCGACAACCCCATGAAAGATAATGTCAATACACCCCCGTAATCGCTTCTAACACCCTTTGATCGGCCACGATAGCTGCCCTACGAACGGAACTGCGAAATACTGATCTTGTTCTGGTTCGATTGTTGCAAACCACTGGATTTTCCCGCATATGGAACGACAAAACCACCGGATTTTGGTGTAGAGAATGCAGGATTGTTTTAGAGATTGCGGCGGCAGTTGGTCTTCATGTTCGGTCAGTGAACAGACCTTCGTATTGCTGCGATTTTCTGACGGTCGATGCATTATGTAAAAAAAGCACCCGGAATTTCTNTTTTACAAAATTTGAATAATTCAGTAATAATTAAATGTAAATGCAGTACTGTAAACAACTATTACAATTGTTTCTATACATCATATACTGCCGAACCCTAAATCGAGACTCAGAGTTACCCCCATGCCACTTTTATCAAGATTTAAAGCTCACCCTATATGCAAAGGCAGATGTTGGTAATTTCTAGTACTTCGAATTATTCGTGCACACATATAATTAGTAAATCCGTTTATCCGAAACGATTTCTTAAAAAATCTTCAATGCCATAACTGTTTAAAATTAATATTTCAAATACCGAAGCATTTATATCAATATTTTATGAACATATCTTTAAATCAACATAATTTACAAAGTATGCTGTAATTTAAAACATTACACTACTCATTACAAGTCAGGTAATATTTATTACGTGGTTTTATAATTCGAAATTGTTATAGACAAAGAAGCAGTTCTAGAACGAAAGTGCAAAATCTGCAGAAATTAATTAAAGAATATGTTTCATTTGCTGCATTTTCGAAAATTAATATTTTTAAAGCAATTAATTCGTAAATTTATATTAAATGGTACACGGCCATGAATCTAAAATGTACGTATTTATGGTATCACATTAAAATCGACACTTCCCTACATCGTCATTTAATGTACATACCTTGTTTAATTACCAATTAGGCTAGAGCCTAACTCAACAATATTTCAAACGCAACCAATCGATACGTACCTCCGTAATATAGTTTTCTTCCAATATATAATAATTGTTTGGAAACCTGTAGTACAAGATTGTGACAAAAGATTTACATACAAACAGCAAACATTAAATAACAAAGATAAAAAACAAAAATTATATTCTGTTGTCGCCATAAAATTTTAGAGCACGATATATTAAGGAACAAAAGACGGTACAGCTTCCCAATGTCAGAAATGGACTTTAATCCTTCAGACAGAACTTATCTTAAATATTTCGCAGTTGTAACGACGCAAATGGAGCAGGTCTTTCTGGTCCGTTGACGTGAAAAGCTGTTTATATGAATGTACGTTTGCAAAAAATGGTGACCTCGAATTGTAAGTGGGACCCTGAAGTTTTAGGATCTCATAGCACGGGCAAGTGGTAGCAATGTGATTTTCGTTACTATGCATTCCAACTTGTTCCAGCGCTTATCAGTTAATTCATCTCTTCTTTCACGTTCCATGAGTCACCGTACCACATTGCGACACACCAGAGAAACAAATGTTACCGAGGTGAGGGTGACGCGGATTGTTGCCCCGTTCTGATTATGTCCGACATCACCTGCCCCCTGCAGGTGGTTGGCTATCCCACGATACACGCAAGTATTTATCCTCATGGACGATCGATAGCCGACCACCGACCAGCCGCTCGACAACCCCATGAAAGATAATGTCAATACACCCCCGTAATCGCTTCTAACACCCTTTGATCGGCCACGATAGCTGCCCTACGAACGGAACTGCGAAATACTGATCTTGTTCTGGTTCGATTGTTGCAAACCACTGGATTTTCCCGCATATGGAACGACAAAACCACCGGATTTTGGTGTAGAGAATGCAGGATTGTTTTAGAGATTGCGGCGGCAGTTGGTCTTCATGTTCGGTCAGTGAACAGACCTTCGTATTGCTGCGATTTTCTGACGGTCGATGCATTATGTAAAAAAAGCACCCGGAATTTCTCATTCTGAAGTACCGCGATGCATGCATTGAAATAACATCTTGTATGTTAGTGAACACCATTGTGTTAAGTTGTGATGCTGAATTTGCTCGCGATCCATCATGCTGTTTATGTTAGTCGACCTCACGCGTGGTCTGCGATTTTTACAATGGGAAAAGCTGTCGAGCAAAGA